ACCCCTAAGGAAGAAGCTTTCCTCTCCTAGTTAAGAGATCCATTAAACATAAACATCTTAATGGAAGGAAGACAAAACATCCAGTAGAGTAGTCCTAGCCAAACAATTATGAAATATCCTTCCTGAAATTTCTTAAACAAATCAACAAGAATGTTTAAAAGAGAGTAACACTAAATGACATCCATAAACATGTATTTTTAACCCACAAAAAAGATGCTCTTTGTTCTGTTTGCTGCTCAAAGAAAGCTACTGGGGGGTGGGGAATTATTTGCACAACAGATGTTGCCTGAGCAGTTTCACCTTGACAGAGCCTGCACAAGGAGTTATCCATAATCCTTTTGAGAAAGCCAATCATTCACCACAAAGATCTCCATTTGTGTAAGGACAACACTTGCAGAAGAAGGAGGTCACCTGCATTATTATAGCACTGGTTAAGCTTTATCCTCTGTGTGTTCCCAACCAAGTTATGGCACAGAATTCCACGGGAGGTCCAGATAATTATGTCTTCTACTGGTACCCTAATTACAACAACAACAACTGGGAGATGGCAGAGACATCTAACTTATTTCTGTTCTTCTACCACTCCATCTATACTCTTTTTTAAACCCTCAACACAGAACCCATTTAAGGAGTTAATGTGAATAGCTCAACAGTGCCTTTTATGTCCCAGCACGAGGAGCCTTCAGGCTGTAAACACCTAGAGTAAATGCTTCGGTAATGGACTGATATTTTGATCCCCAATTCCATTAAAAGCCTCTTGCTTTCCTATTTGAGGGAACCTCAAAACCTTCTTCAGCCATGGCACAAATCCAATTTTCTCCCACAGTTTTTGTTAAACAAACTGATGAATCAAATGCTTTGAGGCCCTCAGTCTTCCACCTCCCAACGTACTTCAAGTGGGATGCTTACCATTTCAGCTCCTGAATTTCTAAATGAACTTTTTCTCGTTCACATGCTTAATCGGTTGCCTTTCAACCATGCACACACGCACATAAACACTATTTCTTCAAAGAGTCAAAACTACTTTAGAAAGTGGTGGAAGAGGAGGAGAGATGGATACGGTCACCGGTTTTAACACTATTTAATTTGGCTTCAAATGGCATATTTTGCCCTGTGGGTAGACAAATTCTGAACACAGCTTGCCTATGGAGATTGCCACTTTTCTGTATTGCCCTTTCCGCAATCACCCCCCACCAACCAAGCAGGGCCCTCCATCACATGAGGGCTATGAGTGTGGAGGGAAGGGTATTCGTAGATTATCCAGTGGCTCCTTGTTATCAGCCAAATGTTACCAGGATGAAGTCTGAAACCACATCCACCCACAAACAGCCACTTGTAACTTGCGTTTAAACTCATTTGAAGAAGCATACCTGGCAGACTTCAGCCATACATTTTTAGGAGTCTCATTTATAATGTTTCTGCAATATTGGTGCATGGCCGGAGAAAGTGCACATGGCCCATGAAAGCTCCCAAGTTGTTTTGATATTTTGAGGATCTAATAAAGGTATCACCTCTCATGCATAAGTATTAACAAGATACCTAAGTAACACCAGCAAATCTGCCCACAGTTGATTATGTTGCAAATGTGCATAGCTATCTATTTACAGCTTAATCCTTGTAAGAAAAAAGCAGTGTTTAGACCAGAAATGGAAATCCTCTTCCAAACCAGCATCGCCCCTCTAGAAATATTCATAGGCTCTCCTATAGGGCCTATGAAAAAGCACTGATATAAACCACATTAATTTTAAAACTCCCAACAGAGAGATATCTGATTGTGTAGGAATAACTGCAGTCTTAGGATGTAAGGAAATATATTACACTTTACATATTACAATTTAAAATCAGGCCATTTTAAATTAAAATAAAATGTATTTTCTTACATTCTGAGACCACAATTTCTCTACCATCAGATTTGTTGGATATACTGGTTCGTCTTGTTTTTTTTCCCAACAGAGAGACAACAAATTTCTACAAAGCAAAGACAATACTGGTCAGGTTTACACCTTCACTTCATCATTCTCAGCCTGACATTTCTCTCTCTTCAAGCAACTAAAAATAACTTGCAGGGAGGAGGCACCAGGGGAATGTTCCAAATGATCCACTGGGTTTAACTCCAATTTTCTTTAATGATCTGCACCTGAGAGTGGTGCAGAGCTACCTAACTTTGCCTCAGACTTTTCAGTCTCTGAAATACTTTTTGCAGAGACTTTCTGGATGCTAAGGCACAGATCCTAAAATTCACAGTTAAAGGTATCAACATGAGCTTCCTTGTCAAATTCCATATATTTGAAAATATCATACAGATTTTACTCATTCACTATAAATGTGTTTAGTTCACCTAAAAAAAAATCTGTCTTCTTACCCATCTGTTATTACATAATCCATGCGCTAAGCGAAAGACAGAACAATGTTCTCCCACACTATAAACACCTAAGCCTTTTTGAAATAATGGATGTCTATGAGTAATTGAAATTGGGAACACTAGTTTTGCTATTCATAAATCTCTCCAGAGCCATTTTTTTAAAAAAATCTATAAACTGTAATAGCACACCATATACATACTGCTCAGTGAAAATAATATAATTACTTTATAATAATTAAAACTTGCAAATAACAGGCACAGCAGCTTGGAATTAATCAGAAACAGACCTACATATCTGGTGGGAAACAAAGCAACTTCTGTTCAGAAATGTATGAAAAAGAATGTGAAACCATAACTTACAAAGATTTGGGCACAAGCTCACCATTTAAAACTAATAGATCTGAACCTCCCATGCCAAGTGGATTTGCCTACTTGGCATTAAGATGTCAAAATCCATTTTGTGATTCTGCAATTTAAGAACATTAGTAGGACTAATGGAACTACCATAAATTATTGGCTTAGTTTTCAACCACATTCGAGTACTTGAATTTTGTGAGAAGCAAAGAATATCTGTGCTTTAAATCAAAATTCAGACAAAGAGACAAAGGACACACTAGCCTGTTCATGCTTTATTAACATTCATTGGAAGTTGCCTTGAAAACTGTTTGATCAAAAGGTCAGACATAACTCTAAATCATATACCAACCCGATTTGAATATATGCCAGCTGTAGTAGTTTTGGAGTGAGCAGAAGCCTCTTATGCCAGCAAACTACTCTTGTCATCACAGCTGCCCTTGTCCTGACTGATCTCAGATCTGCCAGCACAACTGCTCTGCTGCTGAGATCAGCTGGCAGAAGAGCCACACAAAAAAAAGAGGCAGAGAAAGGGAGGAGAGGAGTAACACTGTATCCAATCCCCTCATAGCCCAGACTTGCAGCCCCTACGCCAGATCTTTGGATTGAACACAGCTTCAGCTGGCTTAATGTCAGCAAAGCCCTCAGCCATATTGGCAAGTTAGAATTGTTCACTAAGTCAGGATTCCACAGAAACCTTCTCTTAATTGAACAAGCAATGCATTGATGCCTGTTGGCTTCATCCTGGCTGCTTTCACTAGTATAAATAAAACAAGGACCACTTGTTGCGTATGAGGTCTAGGCTAGGGCTCCTGGCTTATAATGCCTCTTAAAAGCCAGAATAGTAAACCAGGAGTTGTTTTTGATTTACCAATCTTACACTGGAAGTGGTAAAGTAAGCCTTGAGTTGAAAGAAACATTAAATAAATAATTTAAGTTGTTTAACCACTTCTTACAGTGGACTGAGCCAAGAAGTAGTGAAGAGGCCATATATACTACTATACAACTTGTCCACAGTAAAATTATTAGCAATATACATAGTATTACAAGCAGATGAGACCAATGGCCAGGTTTGGACACACTGCAAAACCAGTCTGTTTACTGCAAAGCTGTCTTGTTTGTACACTGAAGCCACATCAATCAACTAATAATTCACTTAGAGCCAATGAAGAACAATATAAGATGACTTGCGAATCCTGCTTTCCATTAATTACGATCTCTTACTGCAACTAAATTCAATATCCCAGTGGAATTCTAGTTTATTGTGTCACTGCAACACTGCCCATTATACTACATAAACACAAATGAAGGCCAACCAGAAAATGTAACAGCTCACATACCTAAGAATTTCCTGCTGGCACTTCCACAGATTTTTCAGAACCTGCTCACTCTACCTGGAAACAAATTTCGTTCTTCTCTTGGTAAGTTTTTTCTTTCCACCCATTGCATTGCTCCACAGAAACTCTACTGACATTTTTTTAAAGTATTGGGGCACTTTTACTACCTTACATCTAGTGAGCCATGTATAATCTTAGAAAACTGTACCAACAGGTGCCATCACAATTTGATCTAAAAGCCCACCACCACAAACACCCACTTACTTCCTCTTAATGTCTGCTTCAACAACAGGTAAGATCCACTTACCCTGTTTCTGTTCTATGAACTCACATTATAACAGCAACAACTGCTCATTAAAAAAAGTTAAACATACTTTTTTAAAAAAAATGCGTTAGCAAACACAGCAGGAGATGATTTTTGTTCACGAGAGCTGGAAGGAAAAGGTTAACAAAGGAAAAGGTTGAGTAACGTGTTTTACTACTGACCCTGCCTAGAGTAGCCAAACACCTTAGAGGAGGAGCATGTTCATGGTTCACATCCCATTTCTGCAACCACACCTGCAAAAGAAATAGAGCTGCCCCAAAGGCTTTTTATATACTATTGAACATTCAGTGGTGGGGATGTTGGGGAAAGACAAAATGATGACTCTCTGTTTGGTCTGATCAATCTATAAGTCAAGTGGAAATAAGTTCCTATGTTCAGAGCAAATTAATTTCCAATGGGATTAATCCCTGAATTATTTTGTAAGGTGACTGCCCCGAGAAACTGGGATGAAGTTTCTGAGGGGAGGAGTCAATGTCAAGTGTCCCTTTTATGTGGCATCCCTCCTCCACAAGGGGATCCTAATGACAAAGGGGAGACTTAGCCTGTTCTGGCTTTATTAACGTTGACTGGATGCTGCCTTGAGGACTATTGGATCAAAAGCTGATCTAAATAATATACCTACCAGATTCTTGCTTGCTTGCCTTTCCACCATCTCTGCTTTTCTTCAAAACAGCTTTTAACATTTTAACACTGCTGTCTTCCCTGGAACAAAAGCAGAGAAATACTTGTGACGGAGCACAGAGACAATACCTCTATATGTGATTTTTTTTTTGTCCACCACATGCAAAATAAACATGTATAATAAGATATTAATTCAAAACATGTTGAGGGTTTTCTTTTATTTTACAGAGCCATGTTATATTAATTAAACCAAATACTGAAGCTACGAGGAATGTTTTAATACTAGAAGCAAGTGACTACAGGTTTACTATCTTGTTATAAAGAAAAACAGCACACAACATTCTCTACATTCCACATATAATTAAGGTTACAAGGCTAAACCTGGATAAGTTACCATTAGACACTCTGGCACAAGCATGTCTGGTTTTTCACCAGAGTTCATCAGGAGGGCGGAAATAAGCTATACCACCACAACATCTACCATAAATTGAAGGAAGTCTGGGTGAGACAGCAGACTACCTAAGAGAAAAATGACTCCATGTGTTTTAAAAATCCTTTCTAAAAATAATTCTAAAACGGACCCTGTGCTAAGTAAGTAGGTCATTTAAAACACATTGATATGCTTCCATAGATACAATAGATTATTTTAAAATCTGTCCTGGAACATTTTCTTCTCTTCCCAAAGAGTATTTTATTCCATGGTCTTATCAAAGCTGTCATGTAAATGCCACCATTCAAATTAAAAGCTCACATGGGACTGGCAAATTTTTAAATTGGTATGGCTATTTGGTTCCTTTTAAAGTTATTTATTCACTTATTTCAATATTCATGCCTCCTCCTATATTTAAAACACCTGAAGGTAATGCACAGGCACCAAAACAATTTTAGAACAGCTTTAAAATCATGTGTACTTTATCTAAACTCCCCGTCATGCCATAATCCCTAGGCTCCAAAAGTTTGGAAGAAAACAGGTTTTAACTTGGCACTGAAAGGAGGCCAAAGTTGATGCCAACCAGACCTCACAGTAGAAGGCATTCCCCAGAGCGCCAGAGCAGTCACCGTATCTCCGCATAATATATTGCTCACAATGGTAAGACAGAAAGACTGGCCTCTCCAGAAGATTTCTACGCTTAGGCAGGTAGGCACATGGGAGTCTTAATTTGTTTTGGTTGTTAATTTCTCTCTGAATGAAGGAAAGCACATCAGCATGGAAATAATGTCTAATATAGTAATATTTCAAAAAGAAAAAGCCCTTATTATGGAATGGAATCAAACTGTTATATTTTTTATTTGGGGTAAGGTAAAATTTGTTGTATTCCACAGTACTCTTCACCATGTGTTCTCCAGAAAACACAGTAAACTGAAGGTGCAAGAAAGCATATATGCTTTCGGAATGAAACAGGCACAAAACGTATTCTTTGGCCAAGCCAGACTCTTCATACAAATCTCTTAATAATCATTAATTCATTAATACATTCTATTTATATCCCACCTTTCTCTCAATAAAGGGTCTCAAGGCAGCTTATAAAATATTTAAAAGATTAAGATCCTGATTTTTGTACAACAGAACAGGATCAATTTTTTAAAATGTATGATGGCTCTTTGGAAATATTATATTTCTGTAATTAGAACACTGCTCGCCCCCACAGTTCATACATTTACAAAGTACATATAAGATATATTAAGAACTTAATGATAAAAGAGCATCAAATTGTTCCATTTACTGCAGTGCATATGTTCTCTCCCCCAAACAGCAGCAGGCTTCTTTGATGTTTTCAGAGTTCCACAGCTGTGCATTTACTGTATGATCACGAGACAGCTGTGATTTACATCTCACATTCCAGCCAGAATGACTAGGAGCCTCCATTGTTACCACTTCCTCTTGCAAACACAGCATTCTTAACCTCCATTGTTCTCTTTTCCATGTTTCCAAACAACATTTTACACAGCATGATTCTCATTTTAGTGGAGAAACCCAAAGCTGTTTTTAGGAGCCAGTATTTTAAGCCAATTGTTGCATTTTCCACATCTGTCATCTGAATTTAATACATTCAATAGTCTGAGCATATATCCAATTTTAAAGGACCTCAGGATTAAGCAACACTTCACTCACATATATATATATGCTAAGCAGTCTTTACTGTCATGTTTGACAGTGTAACAAGGTTTGTATTTACATGGCACAGAATGATCTTAGACTGTGTTCATTCAGTGCCATGGATTTGCTATTGAAGACTTCTATTTCTCATAGATTTGGGCAGGCAGCCACTACCACAGCTTTTTCCAGTAACAGGTGGACTTTTTCTCTCCCAGGCCCATTCTTTCAAATGGGAAGCTGGAGATCAGAACTGTAGATGGGACGACTGAAACAATGACTGTGCAAAACTATTGCACAACACATCTCCAATGATTTAGTGCTGCGCCAGGAAGTGCAAAGGAAGTACAACAAACCTCTAACTATCCAAAAATAAATTAGGGTGGAGATTTGTGGAAAATAGCTCTTCTGATGACCTCAGAATTGTAAATAATGCACTCACTGCAAACAACTCTCTGGTAAACATTTCTCCTGCTGATCTTGCCAATGTTCTTATTTCCAATTCAGTTGTTTCAGCAAATATATAAACCATACCAAATTAGTACACAATGTTTTAAAAAAAGATAGGAACAGGGTAACAGTATGCAATTAGCATTGTAAAACCACTGAGTCGCATTCCACAAATACTTCCAATACATTATACACTGCACTGAAAAGCTCTATGAAGGTTTGGTCTCCTTATGAAGACTCTCAGATCATGAACCAAAGGGGAGAAAAACAAGAAACAAGAGGTTACCTGCCTTTTTGCATAGAGATAAAGATACAGATAGAGATAGAGATATTGGCCCGACTCTTACAGGTGTTTGCATAAGGTTTGCATACTTTGGTGCAGGTAAATGACCAGATCCAGGACATATTTGGTTGCATAATCAGACACATAACCAGGCACATTATCGAGATAGCCCCTCTTCAATTAGCCACAATTAACCACGGTAGGTCGTTGTGTCCACCCTGCACAGATGGACATAACAAGAGTCCAGCCCCGCCAACTCACCCGTCTGCTGCCAGCTCCACGCTCCCTTCCGGTTTCTCCAGAGCTCGCCATCAACTAGCCATTCTTCGACCTGGGAGGGAGGTTCGTCTTCCCTCCTTTTGCCAGGAGTTTCAGTCAATCGCAAGCTCCGGAGCAACTGGAAAGGAGCGCAAAGCCAGCAGCAGCAGCAGTGGACAGGTGAGTGGACGTCCACATATCAAGAGGTATTTGTATTCATATACAAATACCACATCTCTACACATAACTTACTGTGATCAAGTTCTTCTGCCATGGGCGATCACCTAGTTTGCACGGGAATGAGAGACAGAGGCTGGTTTAAAACTTTAACAGAGTCTCTTTTATTTTTTAATACCTCTAACTCAACAGCTTCAAAAGGATCAATCAAACTGAACTCAGGCAGGATCTTGTAGCTATGGACCCTCACATCTGGAGTTACTAAATCACTCCTCACATCGGGGCTGGTCCAAACCGCTCTCGATCCGTCATGGGTCTCAATGGGGGTGCTCCTTACTGCGCAAATCGTGCCACAGCAGGTGTACCTCACCCAGTCCGCCTCGCGCAGCTGCTGGAGTAAACAGGGACTGGGACGAATCACTCTCCTCTCCCCACACTGGTAAACGACCACAATCCATTCCACAGGTTCAAGATCTTCTTTCACCACGCCAATGCCCACTGGATCAGGTAGCAAGCTTCCTCCTGTCCGGAGGTTAGGGAACTCCTTCAGCAATCCTGATACCTCCTCCTGTTCCCACTCTTTCTCTGTTTGTACTGCCTTAACCTTCCTCTCCCATCTTAGCTCATCCGTCATTGTAAAAATGTGGGCGCTTTCCCCCTCTTTTAACACCTCCTCCCAAACAATCAAGTCTTGCTCCTCCCCCTTGTCATCGGCCAAGCTGACTTCTAACGCCTCCTTCCTCTCTATCTTCTCTTGCTCTATTTCCACCAACACCCCCTCTATGCATCCGCGGTCTTTTGCTCCTCCCCCTTTTCATAGGCCAAGCTAGCTTCTAACGCTTCCTTCCTCTCTATCTTCTCTTGCTCTGTTTCTACCAACACCCCCTCTATGCATCCGCGGTCTTCCTCAAAGGCGGGTGCCTTGGAGGACGGCACAGTGGTGACTCCTTGGTCACACTTACACAAACACAGACAATTCTGGCTGTAGCTCCTGAAGTCACTGATAGAAAGCTAGGATATGCCGAAGTGTGTGAAGCAACACAGGCACTTAATGAACAATAGATGTTCCACTACTATATCCAGAAAGTTGTGGAATGTTTTACACTCTGCCCGTGGGCATGTCCTCTTGTCGGGAAAACAGAACAAGAAGGAGGATACCTATTGGATATGCAATAATGTACTGCCTGGAACCTTGTTGGTGTAAATATGTAGGCGTAAACGGCAATGATGTCATAGCCTGCAGCATTAATCTTTAATTTAATTTAATGTAAAGCTAACCACCACCACCCTCTAGGTCCCAAGGTTTCCTAGGGAACTCTTATGACCTGGGGAAGCATTTGAGAGCCACAGGAGAGGGAGGAGTGTGTCTTTCGTATCTGAAAATCACCACGGAATCACTGGCAGCAGGATCAAGACCACCAACGGTGATCCTTTGGGGAGCTTGGTAACCAGGGTGCATGGGGAGGAGATAGGAAGTATTAAATTAAATTAAATATGAATGTCATGGGCTGATGATACAATTGCTATTTAAGCCAGCATAGTTACCCAAGTGATTTCCAGCCATTATGTACTATACCAACTGATCTTTACAATGTGTACTCAAGAGTATTATTTTCTATTCTTTCCTCTCCTATTAATTCACCTGAGACCTTAAATTAAAGGCATGATGGATATGTTTTATTGGTAGAAAAAAAATCTGATAATAATTAACTTCTATAGTGAGAATATTTTGGAACTAAGTGGGGCACTGATTTATAGTTTAGCATGAAAATATTAACTGATCTACTGTGAGATCTGGACATGTTGTAAATAATTAATTTGTATTCTGTGCAGTGTGCACATCTAGAAGGTGACTTTGAAGCAGCAGGCAACAGCTTAAAACAAAGCTCTTGGGGGAAAGATGTCCAAATAAAGAAAAGCAGGTTTATGGGGAGACATATACATATGGAGACTTTGTTTTAAAATGATTCTCTAAGAGCCACCACATTTTCATACTATACATCATATGAAATATTTTGATTTTGAAAGAATGATTTTTTTTTTAACTTCCTTATAGGATATTACATGAAAGTTAAATCTGGAAGTCCAAATGTATTTATCAGTCCTTGGAACATTTAAAACTGGATGTAACATATGCTCCTTTTCTCCTCTATGTTTCACTATCCATCCTTTCCAGCAAAAACGGTCAAACTCTTCAAACATTTGCCTGCTGCAATGCTATTTTTCATCTTTACTACTACCCATTTTCATTTCAAGGTACCTGTCCCATTGTGATATCCTTAGTTGCATGCCCCAGATTCATAAAAGTCAGCTGCTGAAGCATTGCAACCATATGCAACATCTGACTGAATAGTAAACGCAAAATGAGGAGTGAAGATGGGAGCACACATACAATGGGGTCATGGTTACACCGGACTTCCCAGTCAAGTAACAAAGTCCACCTTTCCCCATCAATCACAATAGGTGGACGTCCCAGGCACCTGCCTATATTAAACATGGCTCAGAAACTAAATAGGCTATGATTCTGTTCCTAAAGGTTTAGAATGCAAAGGAGATGGGCGTGAAAATGAAGGACATAGCAGAAATAGCAGGGAATGCCATATGGGAGGATATTAAGCACAAGATTTTTCACTGAAAAAGTCTGGTGAAGCTAAGTGGATCTCATCCAGTATGTTGCCTAGAAGAACAACTGACAGGGACACATATGTAAGCTACTCTGAGCTTTCCAAAGCAAAACCTAGGTACAAATCTAGTACTTAGAATACAAGGCCATTACTAATGTTTACATGTTGATCAAAGGGCCCAATTATTACAACATACTGCTTCCAATAGTGTCCAGACAGTTGTTTTTCTCAAGGCAAGCATGAAATTAAACATCTTGGACACCACTAGCTGGTATTAGGTAAAGGTTTCCCTTGACATTTAGCCCAGTCGTGTCCGACTCTAAGGTGCGGTACTCATCCGTTTCCAAGCCACAGAGCCAGCATTTGTCTGAAGACAGTTTCCGTGGTCACGTGGCCAGCACGACTAGACCACGGAATGCCCCACCGAGGTGGTACCTATTTATCTACTAGCATTTGCATGCTTTCGAACTGCTAGGTTGGCAGGAGCTGGGACAAGTGACGGGAGCTCACTCCGTCACGTGGATTCGATCTTACGACTGCTGGTCTTCTGACCTTACAGCACAGAGGCTTCTGCGGTTTAACCCGCAACTCCAGTATGTCTCTATAATAGTTGCTATTACCTAACAGCAATTGATACATCTATTACTCCTGAATGTTTACAACTTCCTTGTAAAACTATCTAAACCAGCGGCAATTGCCACACCACAGCAGCAGCAAACGCCTTGCTAATCGTGCAAGTACTTTGTCAATCAAGAGTATGAAAGTAATTCTTTTGTTCAGTATGAATCTATTATCCAATTTCAGTGGGTAAGCACAAATTCTAATATACAGTGGTGCCTCGCACAACGAATGCCTCACACAACGATGAATTCACACAACGATGCCTTTTTCTGTTAAATTTGCTGCCTCACACAGCGATGTTTCCTATGGGGGATTTTCACACAACGATCTCCCTTTTCACTCCTGTAAAAGTGTCTTACAATGTTTGGACGCTGTTTTAAATGATTGCAATGGTTAGTCCACCTCCTGAAACCTATGCAAACTGATTTTGGTGTTGTTCTGACACTTCGTTAATTTATGATGATT